TTGTCCCCCTGGGCACACTCTGGCTCCTGTTCAGCTCCCTGTCCATCCCCACTCCCAGCTCCCTTCCTGCCTGGCTGCTCTCCAGCCCCTCTGGCCCAGCCTGGAGCTGCCGGGGGTTGTTGTGGCCAAAGCTGAGCGAAGCCCTCTTGAGTATTTCCCGCCATCAGCTCAGGGGGAGAGATGAGAGAATAAATCCCTGGACTTGGTGATGTCTGCCTGGAAATCTTTCCTGTGGGAAACCTTCTCTTCCTATCCAAATCCCGGGAAAAACTGTTCTGCCCTAAAAATCGCCGCCGGTTCATCCACTCCTTTTTATTTCCTCCTGCAGGAGTAGAAGGCATAACCCCCCCCTTTCCAAATGCTGCTGGGATTTCAAATAACCTTTAAACCAACACTGAGATCTCATTAGGAAATGCCAACCTCATTTGGAGCACCGGTTCCACAGTTTGCTCCCGTGACATTAAATTAAATGTTTCGCCGGGTAGGACGAGGGTAACATTTACTTAAAATCTGTGCCCCCATTACGAGGTATCATTGCTTCAATTATTGCAAATTCTGGAACATGTTTTGCTTCTAATTAATCAAGAGGCTTTGCTCTTGTTATGCAAATCCGAGTGGAGCAGCTGAAGACTAATTTTTTAGGTGCAAACTGCTTTTTGCCGGGGTGGGGGGGTTTGATGAATTCCAAGCTGTTCAGTTTGTTAACAGTGGTTTTCCTCGGGAAGGGACAAAATCCCAGATTTTTTGAGAGCTGCTGCACTCATGGGCACCTCACACAACACCCTGGGAGGGGGGTTCCAGCAGGGTTGGAGCAAAATGCACGTGATGCTCCCCCCAAAAACCACTGTCCTTGTTTTCAGGGATGAGAGGAAAGGGCCTCAAGTTCCACCAGGAGAGGTTTAGGTTGGATATCAGGGAAATTCCTCCGTGGAAAGGGTTGTTAAGTGTTGGAACAGGCAGTGGTGGAGTCACTGGGAGTGTTCAAAAAACCTGTGGTTGTGGCACTGGGGGACAGGGTTTGGTGGTGGTGGGTTGAGGGTTGGGCTGGGGGATCTTGGAGGGCCTTTCCAATCAATTCTGGGATTCTGTAATTCCCTACCTTTGAAGAAGGACTTGGATGTGTGGGTTCCCTTTGTCACATGAAGACTGGAGCTCCTTGTTCTGCATTTCCCTGGATTGTGGCCTCAAAGAAAGGGGGGAATTGTCCTCTCCTTTGTGACTCACACCAGACTTTGCAAAGCCAGGGTTAAATTTGTGATGAGTGATTAAATCAGTCCTACTCAAAACAGTATTGAAATTTTAGGGGAAAAGGGTTCTGAGGTGATTTCAGTCAAGGCTGAGTGGGAATGTGGGAATGTGGTGCTTGGAGATCCCACCTGGAATGCTGCATCCAGCTCTGGGGCCCCCATAAAAGAAGGAGCTGTTGGAAGGATTCCAGAGGAGGCACAAAGGTGCTCCAAGGGCTGGAGTCCCAGCTTCTCTGGGAATTCTATTCCAGGGCCTCCTCACCCTCCCAGCCAGGAATTCCTTCCCAATATCCCATCGAATTCTTTGGCTGGACAGTTGGATCACAGGGATCTGTGGCCTGAGGACGTCCAAGTGGCAGCACGAGAAGGTTTGGGAAGTGAGAGAGCAGGGAATGTGATCTGTCCACCAACATCTGATCCTGAGGACAATGCCTGACAGCAGTTAGGGTTGAGAAGATCCTTCCCAGTCTTCTGTGGGCACATTCAATCAGGAATGGGAACAATGCCATAGAGTGGATGTCGGGAAAACAACAGATGGGAGGGAGAGCTGGGGGGTCCCCCTGGAGAAGAGAAGCGCCTCCAGGAGAGCTAGATGACCCCCTAATGCAGGGCCTAAAGGGGCTCCAGGAGAGCTGGAGAGGGACTGGGGACAAGGGATGGAGGAACAGGACACAGGGAATGGCTTCCCACTGCCAGAGAGCAGGGAGAGATGGAATATTGGGAAGGAATCGGGTGGTCATTCAGAGATTGGGTGTTTTCAACCAATATTTAGGAAAAATATCCGTTGCTTCCCTGGTTGTGTTTAATTTTCCATCTTTAATATAACTGTTCCTCCCCACAAAGCTCATCACAACCCCCCAGCTGACAGGAGTCTACTCACTCCTGGTGGAGTAAAGCCCAAATTAATTACCTTGGAGCACTCACATTCCAAGGAATCCTTGTTCCTTCCCTCTCTCCATCCTCGAATTCCGCGCCGGGGCTCTCGTTTCCTCGGAGCTGCTGCAGCGGGAATAATTATATGATATCTGTCTTTTAATCAAGAGGAGTGTGTTCTAAAGCCTGTGATGAATTTACCTTGCTGGAAGTTAAATGCCTGTAACTAAAAGAAGGGGAATGTGCATCAAATTGCTGGATTAAATTGCGGCTCTAAAGGGAAAAACAGCTGCGTGCCCGTGATCGGTGCGCTGGTGGCTCCTGCCATTAGGATGCAAATCAGGCTGTCTATTTATTTCCAAAAAGCTTCATAATTTCGTCTGAAAGGCATAAAAGAAACAAGTAGTAAAGCTGAAAAAAACCAGCTGAAAGCAAAGGAGTAATGGGAGCATAATAAAAATATGATTGGCATTATCCTGCGTGATATCAGAGATGTTATTGTGTCTGAAAAGCACGAGTTGGAAATGCAGCTCCGTTCCAAGGGAGTTTTAAAGGGGGTTTAAAATGAAGTTTAAAATTCTAATGAATTTAGGAGTTTAGGACTCCAAATTAAAACAAGCTCCAAAACTGAATTTTGCTGCAAAATCCCTACAATTTGTGGTTCTGTTGCCTCTGTTTTGCTCTTGACTTTCAACGTGAGCGTCCCGTTGGAAACTCAGCTAAAGCCTGACTTTATTTTACTTTGTCTTCCTGAAAGAAAATCAGATTAAATTTAAATTCCACTTGAAAACAAGCTCTAAAATTGATTTTTGCTGCAAAATCCCTAAAATCTGTGTTGCCTCTGTTTGCTCTTGACTTCTATATAATGCAATGCGTGTGCTTCTTGTCATAGACTCAACTAAAGCCTGACTTCATCTTGCTTTGTCTTCCTGAAAGAAAATGAAATTAAATTTAAACTCCACATGAAAACAAGCTCCAAAACTGAATTTTGCTGCAAAATCCCTACAATTTCTGGCTCATGGAGCCGTGTTGCCTCTGTTTGCTCTTGACTTGTATGATCTTCCTGTTGTAGACTCAACTAAAGCCTGACTTTATCTTGCTTTGTCTTTCTGAAAGAATATCAGATGAAATTTAAACTCCACATGAAAACACACTCCAAAACTGAATTTTACTGCAAAATCCCTACAATTTGTGGCTTATGGAGCTGTGTTGCCTCTGTTTTGCTCTTGTCTTGTATATAACGTGATGCACGATCTTCCTGTTGTAGAGTCAACTAAAGCCTGACTTTCTCTTGCTTTGTCTTCCTGAAAGAAAATGAAATTAAATTTAAAACTCCACATGAAAACAAGCTCCAAAACTGAATTTTGCTGCAAAATCCCTACAATTCATGGCTCATGGAGCTGTTTTGCCTCTGTTTTGCTGTTGATTTCTCTATGATGTGACGCACACGCGTCATGTCATAGACTCAACTAAAGCCTGACTTTCTCTTGCTTTGTCTTTCTGAAAGAATATCAGATGAAATTTAAACTCTACATGAAAACACACTCCAAAACTGAATTTTGCTGCAAAATCCCTACAATTTGTGGCTCATGGAGCTGTTTTTCCTCTGTTTGCTCTTGACTTGTACATAACGCGATGCACAATCTTCCTGTCGTAGACTCAACTAAAGCCTGACTTTCTCTTGCTTTGTCTTCCTGTCTCTTCCCAGATTTGGATGATCCCATAGTGACAGTCCACCAGAGCATTGGGGAGGCCAAGGAGCAGTTTTACTATGAGAAAACCGTGTTCCTCAGGTGTGTGGCCAACTCCAACCCGCCGGTGCGGTACAGCTGGCGCCGCGGGCAGGAGGTGCTGCTGCAGGGCTCCGACAAGGGAGTGGAGATCTACGAGCCCTTCTTTACCCAGGTAGGAGTCCCAGGAGGGAATTTTGGCCTTTTTCAGGCTCTGGAAAAGGATCCATGCCTGATTTGTGAGGATGGGAACGTGGGGGATGCCCTCGAAGTAATGACGTCCCGAGCGAACGCGGCCGGTTGTTGTTAAAAGACTTCCTGATATAAATGATGGGTTTATTATTTCATAAAACATTTTTTTTTTGTAAAATCGTAAAATAAGAAGTTCTGGAAGGATATCTCTATCTGGGGAGGCCTTTTAAAGTGATTTTTCCCGGCTGCTGGAAGCCCAGAGCTCTGAGTTGACCCCTCTTTCCCCATCCTTCCCAATCCTACACAGGGATTCCACACACAAGTTGCTGCCTAAAAAGCAGGATTTTAAACTCTTTGGCAACTCCCCATGGTGGGTATTTTTATTCTTTTTTTCTGCTTTTCTTATCTTTAAATAGAAAGTTTTTGTTCCATAATTCCACACCTGAAAGGGGAGGTGGCAAAAATGAGAATTAGTGCAGATCCCTGCCTGGTGTGTGGGGTGGGATGTGGGGATTTTTTATTGGTTTATTTTTTTAATAGTTTTAATTGTTCGTAAAATTATAAAATAAGGAGTTATGGGAGGATTTACCCATCTTGGGAGGCCTTTCAAAGTGATTTTTCCTTGCTGCTGCAAGCCCAGAGCTCTGAGTTGACTCCTGTTTCCCCATCCTTCCCAATCCAACACGGGCATTCCACACACAAGTTACTGCCTGAAAATCTCTTGGTGAAGGCCAGGGGAGGATCCTATGAAATATTTTTCTTGGGAAGAGTGGGAAAACATTGGAACAGGCTGTCCAGGAAAGTAGTGGTGTAGCCCCCATCCCTGGAAATGCTCAAAAATCCCATGGATGTGGCACTTGGAAACATGTTTTAGTGGGGTTTAGTTGATGATCTTAAAGGTCTTTTCCACCCTCAACCACTCCAGGATTCCAAACTCTTTGGCAACTCCCCATGGTGGATATTTTTATTATTTTTTTCTGCTTTTCTTGTCTTTAAATAGAAATTTTTGGTGCCAGAATTGCACACCTGAAAGGGGAGGTGGCAAAAAAAAAAGGGAATAAATGCATTTTTAAAGCCTTCCTCTCCCACTCACGGCCAGGAAAGCAGTCAGGGCTCCGTCAGCTTAAATGAGATTAATTCATTTTTAACACAGAATTTTAGCACAGCACCAGAATAAAAAGGTGGCAGATCCCAAAAGTGTGGGATGGTGTTGGGAAAAAAAAAAAAGTAAAAAAAAAAATAAAAAAGGAGAAAAATTGTTTTGGAACAATCTCAAGCCATAACAAGTAAGAGGGAGGTGAAAAGTGCCTGGTAATTCAGTGTTCAGAGCAGAAAGCAACCTGTGACTTTCAGAAATAATTTTCAGCTGATGACTGGAGAGCACCTTCATTTTTTTTTCCCTTTTATTGTGCTCGACAGCTTTTTATTACTCCGTATTTTCCCTGAGAAAAGCAGATCTGGAGCCTCCTTGCAGAGCTGGGAATTAGATTACAGAGCCCAGTTATTGGTCTGCTCAGCCTAATGAGATTATTTTTAATTTCATGAGCTTATTTTTAATTTATTTTTTATTTTTTATTAATTTTATTTTATTTACCCCTTTCCTTCTGTTTTTCTTTCTTTCTTTATCTCTTTCTTTCTTTCTTTCTTTCCTTTTATTTTTTATCATTTCTAATTTATTTCAT